ATCTCTCATGGCCATTTGGACCAGCACTTCCAAACATGGTAGGAAAATATGCTAAAAGCAATCTCTTAAACCCACAAAATTTCTCCCTAGATATTCCACCTCAGATCTCAAGCAGCTATTCTACAAGTAAGACATCAACATGGGAATAGCTGACCAAGATTACATCAAATCAACCCCTCTGTCTCTTTTGGCTTAAAGGAAGATCTTGGTCTTTGTCTTACTGTATTCATCAGGTTTTTTTTTCGATTCCCAGATCATTATGTTGTGCATTTCATTTCATTCTTCCACACTCCCATAAGCACAAACAGTGCATATAGAAACCAGTGGTTTCATTCTTCTACAGAAGTTAGAAGAAATAGATTATGTTTGTTAAAGTTCATGCAAAATTAAATATGTTAATCTTATACATGCCACAAGATGCTTTATTGTGTTCACTTGAATTGACTCACACAGCAAGCTCCTTTACAATCATGCTACTATTTACAAATAATTGTAATCTATTTTTAAAAAGACATGCACATTAAATAGTACAAAGGTTCAAAGTTACAAGCTGTCACTTTCTTTGTCAATCCACAGCAAGCTCTTTCCTTCTTGTTTAAGCACATTCAGTTCTCTCTCTGTGTGTGTATGTACACATATACTTCAGCTCTCAGGATTATTATGGTACAGTCCCCTTGCTCAGCTGGAGAGCTGGCTAATTATTTTCAAATGGCTATAGTAAGCTATAATTTAATTCTATAATTCAAGTCTCAATTCCATGAGCACTTTCATTTTCAGGGCAACTTTTTTTATAAGGCCCTTAAATATTTTAACACTACGCATAAAAACTTTCTCATCTTGCCAGCGCCTTCAGCCCATGCCTGGGATCCCTAAAGCCTGGGTCCACCTCCCAGCTCAGCCTGGCCTCTGCTCTACCCTGCAGATGTGGCTCAGAATCCTTGGCCTTCTTCCTCCCATCTGGAACTTTACTCTTCCTCCCATGGCTCTCAGTATGGCCCTGTCACAGCTAGAGTTCCTCCCTCAGAGCTAGGATTCTGATGACCAGCAATCTTTCCCCTACCTTTCAACTACTTCTTTTAAGCCTGGGTCACACCAACACATTCTGGCCTTTGCTCCCCTCCACAAATGCAGCTTATCAGCATTGGCCTTCTTCCTCACTTTACTTTACTCTTCCTCCAATTGTACCCAGGCTGTTGTGCGACAGCTGGAGTCTCTCCCTCACTGTGAATATTCTGATGACCAGTAGTGGAGTGAAACATGCCACCTCTGGAACGCCTTCTATATTTGGGTTATCATTACACTAGCTTCAGGAGTTAACCTAGAGACAAAATCCGGAGCTGGAGTCCCGAAGGCAGTTTGTGTCCTGCGACGTTGCTGGAACCAGTTGTATTGGCTCTTGCCTTTCCATTGAACCATTTCAGCAACGTGGAGAGGGGGGATTTGCTGCTTGGGTAACAGCCTATCCTCCATACTACTTTACCCAGGCTCCATGCTCTGGAGAGGACACTTCTCGATACAGAGCATGTTACCATAGTCTCTCATGACTGAAGGATGCCTATGAACACTAGCTGGAGATCACCCCAGTCAACCTGAATGGGGTTTACAGTCTTGTAGGGAAATTCTGGATACTTCCTGGCACAAGTTGTGTAAAATCCCCAGAGTACAGACAGTAGAGACTAACATGCACAGGAAAAAAAATAAGAAGATTCTTCTCAAGGAATTCATATTAGAATCCAATATCTAGTTGCAACACATTAACATTAATGAGATATTTTTAAATATATGCAGAGCTGGGATGTGACTATAGTCCCTCCGTGCCAAAATATTTTGCAGGGCTGTTTTGGACTTCATGAAATGGTGAAGCATAAGTATAATAAATAATGGGGGGAAATGTGCACCCTTCAACCTTTCCAATGAACTACAATTTGGTCTAAATATTGCAGACTTGACAACTACATTCCAATTTCTAAACTTTTCCTCTTTGGGATGGACAACCTAAGAAAGAAAGAAAAGCTATATTGGACCTAAAGCTATACAAAAATATTGTGTGCTTGTTTTCCAAAAGATGTCCCCTCACCTTTTGAATTTTATTGTTTTTAAAGGGAGAGGTAGAAGTGAGCCAAGATTGTCACTGGAAACCAAGGTCAAAACCATCCATACGATGTGAAGAAAGATATTCAACAAGTTTATCTGACCAATGCTTCACTTAATGCCACATTTAATAGTACTATGATCATAGTTTACTACTTATTGTGCCCTATTCATGGAAGACACAACCTGCTAAGCAGTGGTTAAATATAAAAATTCTTCTCTCATTTTTCACCTATTTCAAGCTGATCTTCATCTCCTGCACCAGAGGCCCTCAACCTTTTTCACCCCACAGACCAGCTGGGGAAGGCGAGGCACCACCCCACGCTCGTGCGCATGTGTGAACAAGCATGCTGTTCTTCTCATGCAAGCATGAGCACACACACATGTGCAAATCAGTTGTGTGGTGGTGAGTGCATGCAGAGGGGCAGGAGGTCTGTCTTCGTGGCTTGGTCCGGTTCGGTCCACGGACCAGCACTGGGCCGCAAACCGGGGGTTGGGGACCGCTGTCCTACACCATTGAATAGAAAAAGCTAACTTCCACTGTCTTACTGAAACGAGCTGGGAAATCACCTTATTTTCATCGTTTAGTGCTACGTTGTACTTCATGGCTAGCTGGCCCTAACTTTCTTCTTGGCCCACAAAGTCCGCCATCTGCTACTTCTCAATCAAAGGATGGAAATCATCTGTTTGCTGGCAAAGAGGCCACTGGAGGATCAAACACCGAAAAGCAGGTGATTTCCCACTGGGATTTCTGGAATCACTATAATTTGCTTCTGCGCTTGGGCCATGTTTTTTGAGAGGTCTTTAGAAAGCAATGGATAAGAAATCCTGGTAGTGGCTTTAAATATCCCCCCATTCTGTGGAAAGTGGGGAGTGGGGGCCAGACCTAGGCAGGGCTCCGTCAGTTTCATTCCCAACATTTCCCCACTTCCCACTTTACTGAAATTGGTGCCTTGGCAATCTCTGTTGACATTCGTACATCTGCATTCATGTTCATGACAAAAGTTCCTCTTTTTAGGACAAACTCATTGGCAGAGGGAGGCGCAATCCACAATCCCATATTTCAGTCAGGCGGCTGACATGGATGGATGCTGAAGAGTTTTGCATTTTGAAAATCATTTTACTGCCAGAATGTTGTGGATGTTCATGGTCGTTTTTCTGTTGTCTCCCCTGGCATGTAAAAAAGATGTTCTGAAATGCCCTGCAGTTTACGTCCGCCCGGTTCCACATGAATGGTACCAACCAGGTGACCTCCTTCTTGGTGGAATTACTTCTCAGATTATCTACCCTACTTTTGAATTTTCTTTCAGTGGACACCCTTCTCAAGATTCATTTGATGTTCCAGAGTAAGGAGTTATGATTTCTCTCCCCCTCCCTCACATCTTTCTGTCTTAGGGAGGTCACAAGAACAAGAGTGCATCTGTAGGCATTTTAAAAACTAACAGGTTTTTATCAGGGTTGGGATTGAAGCTGTGGAACTCACTTTCAAGTCATGCTTAAGTCACATTGGTGACTTGACCTGGACTAGACTCATGTGTTTATTTCAATGAACTCAGCTCTTGACTTGGAATTAATAGGGACTCAGACTTGGGACTCGAGACTCAAGACTTGTGCCAAAGACTGAGACTTGGGACTCGACCCAAAGACTTGCCAACATCCCCTGGGTTTTATTCAGAATAAGCATTTGTGAACAGAACCTCATGCCAGAACGAAACCTGTTAGTCTTTAATTTTGACTCCAAGAGACAAATTCTGTTGTCCTATTTGAGATGTTCAGTGATCGCTAAGTAGTATGGTGCTCCAAGCTTTGTCAACAGATTTTAATCCCCGCCATTGAAAAACTTTCAGAGCAGAATATTAAGAGGGTGAAGATTGTGGAGCTGCCTTACTATTCCAATAGGGAGTCTTCAAGTAGGGAAGAAAGCAAAGTTCATAAAAGTTGAGGTAGGAGGGCAGTTTTATTTTTCCCCAGAAATAAGTTAGATAATATCCCACAAAGTTTTATTATACGTTTAGAGCCTGGCAAAGGACACATCCATCAGTTATCCCCCATAAATGGCTATATCGAAGCATTGTTCTGATTACACTGTTGTTCCTATGTGCTGTCAAGTTGTAACTGACGTACAGCAACCCTAATAAGGCTTTCAAGGTAAGTGAGATATTTAAGGTTTTCCTAGTTTCACACTCCCAGTGACCTTTCATGGCTGAGCAGGGATTTGACCCAAGATCTCTTGAGTCCTAGCCCATCACTGCATCACACTACACCTAGGTAAAAGGTCACATCAGCATATGATAAATCATTTTGTGGTTTGCACAGAAAACCATTCTTTTCTGTCCTTTTTTCTTATTATTTAATATAATAGATGGAAATGCCTATTTTTGATACATATATTTCATGCACTGTACAATTTAATTCTGAAATATTATATTGACTCTACTTATAGCATGGTGACATAATTTACAACAAACATAAGGGAGTGACAGAAGTGAGGAAAAAGAAAAAGAATATTTAGTTTTTCCCTAAAAGTAAGTGGAATGGCACACCATCCAACCCCAATTAGATTATAGTCTAATAAAGTATGGCCACCCCATACTTTATGGAATATGCCATAAGTATATGTTAGAAATCATTTTTTTCAGAGGAAAAGGAAAACTGCTCATTAACTTGCTAACATCAATAAGGAGTTCCTTTCTTGTACAATTAATTAGAGGGAATCAAATACAAACATTAAATCCATTCCAGGATTTATTTCTAAAAGATAAAGGGGAAGTATTCATTATTTAACCAACATTCATAAGGAATTTATTTCCCTGTCAGATTAGCCAGGGGGATTTACTAGGTTTTGTGGCCCAAATGTTCCCTTCGTTGAAGGATTGATTCTGAATTCGTAATCTGATTCCATTCGCAGCATGATAACAAAATTCTACCAGCATAGCCTTGCCTTGGCTTTTGCTGTTGGTGAGATCAACAGAAACCACCAAATCTTGCCGAATGTCACACTTGGGTTTCACATCCAGGACACCTATCACGATGCTGCAATGACTTATTGGACTACTCTGGACCTGCTCTTCAGATCGCCTAGCTTGATCCCCAATTACCATTGCAACAAACAAAGAAATTTGGTGGCCATCATTGGTGGGCTCAACTCTGCTACCACTGACTATATAGCTGACTTACTCGGTTTTTACAAGATTCCACAGGTGAGTGCTCTTCTGTGGGTATTCTACTTGTGAATTTTGATTAAACTAGCTGCTGAGTGGCTAGTTTAGGGACGTGGTGGTGCTGCGGGTTAAACCATAGAAGCCTCTGTGCTGCAAGGTCAAAAGACCAGCAGTCATAAGATCGAATCTACGCGATGGAGGGAGCTACCGTTGCTTGCCCCAGCTCCTGTCAATCTAGCCATTTAAAAGCATGTAAATGTGAGTAGATAAATAGGTACCACCACAGTAGGAAGGTAACGGCATTCTGTGTCTAGTCGCGCTGGCCACGTGACCACGGAAACTGTCTACAGACGAACACTGGCTCTGTGGCTTGAAGACAGGGATGAGCACCACACCCTAGAGTCAGACATGACTGGGCTAAATGTCAAGAGGAATCTTTACCTTTACCTAGCTGCTGAAAGGGCCAGAGGGCAATGGGTGATTCTTCTGAACTTGTCTTCTGTTTCTTGAATGAAATTTCAATTATAACTTGTCTTTTAATTTTTTCTTCTAAGATGTGTTCCTCCAAGAAATATTTCTTGCCTAAATGGCCATAAAACACCTTGATTTGATTCTATGCTATCTCTTCTTCTTTTTTTCAGCTCACATATAGTTCATTTGATCTTCAAAGCATGCGCACTACTCGAGATGTTTCATTTTATTCCATGGTTCCAAATGAATCCCATCAGAATATTGGCATTATCCGTTTGCTTCAGCATTTTGGGTGGATATGGATCGGGATTTTTGTTATAGACAATGAGAGAGGAGAGCATTTCCTCCGGACACTGGAACCACTGCTTTCTGAAAATGGAATCTGTTCAGCCTTCACTGTTAGACTATCGTATAGAGCTCATCTGGATAATCCAGTTGAACTAGGCTACTTAGCCTTTAATATGTATTTGCACTTAACAGATACTAAAACCGCTACATCCATTATCTATGGAGAATCCTTGACAATTGCAGTGGTCAGAGCGAGTATATTCACTTCAAGTTATGATGAAAGTGCGTCATTTAGGAAGGTATGGATCATAACGGCTCAGCTAGATTTTGCTTTGACAGGACTTTCCAGGGCTTTTGATCTCCAAATGTTTCAAGGTGCCCTTTCCCTTACATACCATTCTGAAGATCTGGTAGGCTTCAGGAACTTTGTTCAAACGATAAAACCCAACAGGAACCAAGAAGATGGGTTTCTCCAGCTTTTCTGGGAACAAGCCTTTGACTGCTTCTTTCCAAAGCCCGAGATGGAATTATATGCCAGTGAAACATGTACTGGGGAGGAGAGACTGGAGAGTCTTCCTGGGCCTCATTTTGAAATGGCCATGACTGGTCACAGCTACAGCATCTATACTGCAGTCTATGCCGTAGCTCATGCTTTACATGCCATGGGCTCCTCTCTCTCTGCCCAAAGGGCAATGAGATGTGTGTTTCCTAAGACAGGATGTAAAACAGCTGAACTGCAGGATTTCCAGGCTTGGAAGGTAATAGCTCAACCCCCTTTAATAGGTGGTATAATGAATTCTATGTGCTGCTTATAGAAGTTTTTATTTATTTATTTATTAGATTTCTATCCCACCCTTTTAGACAAAGTCTACTCTGGGCGGTTTCCATCAAACACTATAAACTAGAACAGTTAAAAGCAATTCAAAACAATTCAAAACAACAGCAATTAGTAATACTTTGTAGTGCTCAAGATGGGAAAACAGAAAAGTTCTCTGTGTTTCATATTTCTTAAAATGGGAACCAAACTTATGTGAAATTGATTCATTAGTGGGCTTTTTAGTTTTTCATGTATGAAATGGAATTTCTCTCTAAAAAAAAGTTTGAAGGTTTACTTAACCATTACTTAGCTCAGGAATCTCTTTTCTTAATGTAAGAAAATAAGATACGCTCATTTTTTGTTGTTAGTTATTAATTTATAGTGCTTTAGACCAGCAGGTATCTTGGTATGTTACACCTGAACTGACACCCTTGAATTCTTGACATTTTTTTTCACAAGCTATCATTCAAGAAAAACTTGCGCTTTCCAAAACTCATACAAATCCCATAATTAGATGCTCAATGTCCTGGGGTTTGTAGTCGAAAGCATCAGGGAAGTGCCATGTTGTAGAAGAGCTGTCCCTAACAAATGGTAGTCACGAATTCACACAATCACCTTTCCTCCGTCTTTTCTTTTCCTTCCATTTGCACCAACCCAAGGTAACAGGTATGCTGCTCGATGTCAGACACCATGGCCTTCTGTAGTGGAAGTATAGCATAGAACTTGAGGATTTTCTGTCAAAATCAATAATTTTTAAAAATCTGCAAACACTTACTCAGTACATGGAGACAGTAAATGTCATGTATTGCTGCTGATTTCAGTATCCTTAAATCTGCTCATATAGCCTTTTGTAAATTCATTGCATTCCAGACTTTCTTTCTTTCTTTCTTGCTTGCTTGCTTGCTTGCTTGCTTGCTTGCTCGCTCGCTCGCTCGCTCGCTCGCTTGCTTGCTTTCCACTCAGTGTCACTGGATGCTCTTCCTAGTGTTGAGGAGTCAGTGCTGTTAGGTGACCTTATTCTGCAGGTAATAGTAGAGATCATTTGGAAAAGACAGTTTGTAGATGTATTTCAGCCAATTAAACAAAAAAGAAAGCAACATGAAAGAATCAATGACTGCAAAATTTAAAAAAATTAAAACGCAAAGACGGCAGCATTGGAAGCTTAAGAGCTGACAAAATCTCTGCGCTATGTTAATATATTATCTTGAAATGCCTGTCTAAATAACCATGTTTTGAGCAGTCTCTTGAAGACCACCAGTGAAGGGGCCAGGTGAATTTCAGGTGGGAGTTTATTCCATAGACAGGGAATGACCACAGAGAAAAACTGGATCCTGGTCTTCTCTTTCTGGGTCTGTCTCACTATCAGGGATCTCAACCGCCTGGTCTGGGAAGATCAAGTGGGTCAGGCAGATCTCACTGGAAGGAGGCATTCTGCCAGGTATCAAGGGCCTTACATGTCTTCTTTGCAGATAAGATTTAGGTTTATCCTGTGTTCCTTGACTAGATTTTTCATCAGAAACTGTATTTAAAAGTAAACCGCTTACAGATGTAAGGACTCTTTGTTGATCTTTATCTTCCCATTTCACCTTTGGTTATTTTTTTGGTTATTTTTTTTCCACTAGGAATGGCCAGTTTTGACCTAACTTGGACGAATTGTAGAGAAGCATCAGAAGACATTTCCACACAATATTGATGTCTCTAAGTTCCTTGGGGCTGTTTTATAGCCTAAAAGAAATGGTGAATTAAAAATCACTAACAATTAATTGATTCATAGTCATTTGGGACATTGATTTGTATGAGTACAGATCGACAACTTAGCTGTTTAGGATGAATTTGGTGATTTGTGTTTTTTAATTCATGTCCAACTCTAGTTGTGACATCTGCTTCCAGACTCCTTCTGGTATTTGAGGTAGAGAGATGCAAAGAGATGTTGTTCTAGTGTATGTGAAGTGGGCTGTGTTTGAAAAGGAGGATCCTGCTTGTATCTAGGTGCACCTACTGAGCAACTCCCCATGAAAACTGGGAGCACCGTGTTGAGGAAGCAAAGAGAGGAAAGAGAAGACCAGATGATCCTCCTGCCTTCCACCTTATGTTGGGTAATCTCTCCCTCCCCTTTTTCTTCTTTTAGCTTCATCCATTTCTTCAAGGGATCTCGTTCAACAACACAGCTGGAGAAACCATATCTTTTAATGAGAAGAAGGGGATCAGAGGTGGATTCGACATCATGAATTTGGTGATATTCCCCAACAAATCCTTCCAGAGAATTAAAGTTGGAAGAGTGGATGGCCATAGACCCAGAGGAAACGAATTGATCATTCAAGACAAGATGCTAGTCTGGCCTACAGGATTTAAGCAGGTAAGAATTTCATTAGCAGATTTCCTTGGGCGAATCTCCTCTGTTGCCAACATGATCTGATGTTAAACAATTGTGTGACAGCTGGGTGAACTGTCTTCAAAACCAACCACATTCTCTCGACTCTTTTCGCGTGCACAAGAGTCAACCTCTTTCTTGGCAAATCTGAAATTCAACCATGTAGTTTGAAAATCTTCCCATTGCATCTTCTCTCCTTTTTCCATCTAGGTGCCTCCCCTTTCTTTGTGCAACGAATATTGTCCTCCAGGTAATCAGAAGAAGAAGAAAGAAGGGCAAAAATTCTGCTGCTATGATTGTGTCCCGTGCTCAGAAGGGAAGATTTCAAATAAGACAGGTAGGCTAACTCTGCTCCTTCAGGCATGGTTAGAGGATCAATGGCCTCTCTCACGTTGCCCATTGTTAGTCTAAAATAGTTAGTCTACTACTGATATGGAACCAGGTGTCAGAAGTGAACTTGAGCATCTAGAATTGCACAATCTGATTAATCCAGATGGAAGAAACACAAAATTTAACTGGAAAAGAATCTCTTTGTGTTCTTCAGATATGGATGACTGTTTCCTATGTGCAGAAGATCACTTCCCAAGCCAGGAGAGAGAGAGATGCATCCCCAAGACCATCGACTTCTTGACCTTTGAAGATGCTCTAGGAATGGGTTTTACCACTGTTTGTATTTCTTTTGCTTTCCTCACAATATTTATTCTCAGCACATTTATCAAGAACAGAGACACCCCCATTGTCAAAGCCAACAACCGGAACCTCACCTACATCCTCTTGGCTTCCATCCTCCTCTGCTTCCTTTCTCCTTTGTTGTTCCTCGGCCAACCTGAGAAGGTGACCTGCCTCCTTCGACAAGCTGTCTTTGGTTTGACTTTCTCGGTGGCGGTTTCTTGTGTCTTGGCAAAAACCACCATTGTTTCCTTAGCCTTCATTGCTACAAAGCCTGGCTCTCAGATGAAGAAATGGGTGGGGAATAAGCTGGCTTATTCCATTGTCCTTTCCTGTTCCCTTAATCAAGGCTGCATCTGTATTTCCTGGCTGGTCATGTCTCCCCCATTCCCTGATTTAGATATGCACTCCACAAGAGAGAAAATCATTGCTCAGTGTAATGAAGGGTCTGCTGCCATGTTTTATGTGGTCTTGGGCTACATGGGCCTCTTGGCTCTCCTGAGCTTCATGGTAGCATTTTTGGCCCGCAAATTACCAGACAGTTTCAACGAAGCCAAGCTCATTAGCTTCAGCATGTTGGCCTTTTGTAGCGTGTGGATCTCCTTTGTTCCCTCCTATCTGAGCTCCAGAGGGAAAGACATGGTGGCTGTGGAGATCTTCTCCATCTTGTCCTCTGCTGCTGCCTTGCTGGGTTGCATTTTCTTCCCTAAATGTTACATAATTTTGTGGAGGCCTGAGCTGAACAACAGGGAGCAAATGATACGGAGAAAGCATTAAAATCTTTTTACACTGCATCCCAGTGAAAGCTTTTTCCTCTGTTGGGCAAGATGGTTATTATTGTGTACCCCCAGTGACCCCTTTGGACACAGCTTGTTCTTTACCCCTTTTTCGCTGCCACCAGAGGATATTATCCTCACTATATCAATCATGAGTCTCACACTCTTGCTGCCAAATAAAACAAGGTTTATTTAAGAATAAATAAGTGAATCACAGAAGGAAAATCATGGATGTTCTATTATCATTCATTCATTAAACGTGGATTTCATTACTTATAAGCTTGCTTGTACTCATTTACTTCAATCAAGAGCTCAATATTTTCTGACTGTCAATGGACTTCTAATTCATTTTAACTCTTTAATATTCTCTAACTAACCAACTGTCCAATATCTAGTCTACACACTTCACAGTCTTCTCTCTAAAGCTTCACCATCTTTTCCCTAATGCTCTCTGCCTCTCTCTCCAACTGCCTCTCTGGCACTCCCAGTTTTCTTGACTCCCACCCCTCCTGTCCTGTCATATGCACTGCAGCTTTAAAATGATTGACAGGAGTTATGTGCGGGTTGTCTGTCACAGTTATGAGCAAAAGAACAATGCATATATTTAAAAATATCTCCTTTGTTAATGTGTTGCAACTAAATATTGGATTCTATTATGAATTCCTTGAGAAGTCTCTATTGTCTGTACTGAGGGGCTTTTACACAACTTGTGCCAGGAAGTATCCAGAATTTCCTGACAAGAATGTAAACCCCATTCCGGTTCACTGGGGTGATTTCCAGCTTGTGTAATGACAACCCAAATATAGAAGGAGTTCCAGAGCTGGCATGTTGCACTCCTGGTCATCAGAATCCTAGCTCTGAGGGAGGTTCTCTAGCTGTGACAGGGCCATACTGAGAGCCATGGGAGGAAGAGTAAAGTTCCAGATGGGAGGAAGAAGGCCAAGGATTCTGAGCCACATCTGCAGGGTAGAGCAGAGGCCAGGCTGAGCTGGGAGGTGGACCCAGGCTTTAGGGATCCCAGGCATGGGCTGAAGGCGCTGGCAAGATGAGAAAGTTTTTATGCGTAGTGTTAAAATATTTAAGGGCCTTATAAAAAAAGTTGCCCTGAAAATGAAAGTGCTCATGGAATTGAGACTTGAATTATAGCTTACTATAGCCATTTGAAAATAATTAGCCAGCTCTCCAGCTGAGCAAGGGGACTGTACCATAATAATCCTGAGAGCTGAAGTATATGTGTACATACACACACAGAGAGAGAACTGAATGTGCTTAAACAAGAAGGAAAGAGCTTGCTGTGGATTGACAAAGAAAGTGACAGCTTGTAACTTTGAACCTTTGTTGAACTTTAACAAACATAATCTATTTCTTCTAACTTCTGTAGAAGAATGAAACCACTGGTTTCTATATGCACTGTTTGTGCTTATGGGAGTGTGGAAGAATGAAATGAAATGCACAACATAATGATCTGGGAATCGAAAAAAAAACCTGATGAATACAGTAAGACAAAGACCAAGATCTTCCTTTAAGCCAAAAGAGACAGAGGGAGCCTGTTGATGTAATCTTGGTCAGCTATTCCCATGTTGATGTTTTACTTGTAGAATAGCTGCTTGAGATCTGAGGTGGAATATCTAGGGAGAAATTTTGTGGGTTTAAGAGATTGCTTTTAGCATATTTTCCTACCATGTTTGGAAGTGCTGGTCCAAATGGCCATGAGAGATTGTTTAGTTATAATTGGAATGGAGGTAATTCCCTGTAGAAGGATTTGTCTCTATGGATCACCGCTAGGTTAGTCAACATATTGACATTGTATTCCATCAGTACCCTACTGTTTTGTGGGTGGATTTAGAATTACCAAGAAATTTATGAGAGCAAGATCAGGTGCAAATGGAAATCCTTAAGGACCCTCACCTGGAGTTGTCTGGGTAGGTTTCATGCTGTTCTTGAATACAGAAAATAATACGTGTTTAATGTTTCACTGTCATGTCACACTATTTCCAAAGCACTGAAATCTCCATCTCTGCATTATACCTTTAAATTAAATAGCAAAAAGAGTGGTTAAGGTTGGTTTTCCTCTGTGTAAAGCTAGGGCTTCAGTTGTCACAACTGAGTAGTGCTTCCAAATCTTGGGTCCCTAGATGGTCTCGGACTAAAACTGGTAGATGCTTTTACCTCTAGCTGTGCTGACCAGGATTTCTGAGAGTTGTGTAGTCCAAGAACTTCTAAGGACCCAAGGTTGGGATCCACATCATTAGAACTATTGGACCTCACTAGATGTCACACAAGGATGTATGACATTTGCTCCATGAAAGGGACCCCAATAAAATGATCAACCAGCAAGATTATTATACTACCACTTAAATGGGTAAATGTCTTATGCTATGTTGAAAAACCTGCCAGATTGGCCTCTGGCTAGATGGGTGGCACAAATAAATAAATAAATAAATAAATAAATAAATGAATGAATGAATGAATGAATGAATGAATGAATGAATGAATGAATGAATGAATAAATAAATAAATAAATAAATAAACAAACAAACAAACAAACAAACGAACGAACGAACGAACGAACGAACGAACGAACAAACAAACAAACAAACAAACAAACAAACAAACAAACAAACAAACAAACAAACAAACAAATAACCAGAGATGGGGGAGTTTCTTGGTTTGACCTTAGTTTTCAGAATTTGTGGAATCTAACAGTATATGGTCTCTTGCTTCTGACACAAATGAAGACGAATTATCTTCTCCCTTAAAAAAAAAAGTTTCAAGCTGCCCTCAGTAAATCACAAATTCTTCCCTGGACACTCCATCTGGAAACGCACTAGGAAGGTTTGATGGGGAGTTCATGACATGTTATAAATTCAATTCTTTTTAAAAAAGAAGGATTGAGATGTTGCACTTCCTGCACCTATGATTCAAACACCAGGAAACAGCCCAATATTGCTGCACAATATCATGCCCCAGTTGTCAGCAGGAAAAAGGGTGCCTGCCAAGCTTTTCGTACAAAAGCAGCCTGAAAGTTGAGAACACCTATGGAAGCAGTCAAGATATTCAGGTGTGTGAGCAGCAAAAAACCAAACAAAAGACATAGTGGGACAGCTCCACAATGGAGATGGAAAAATGATAACATAGGACAAAGAAAAGGCAGAGGTGCTCAATTCCTATTTTAAGTCAGTCTTCTCCCATAAGACAGACTATGAACTTCAAAACAAATTGGAAATTCAAGGGGGGGGGGAGGATTGAACTGCATCCGAGAGTCGTGAAAGACCTGGATGAAGAACTTTCAGAACTGCTGTCCATTATTTTCTTGAAATCATGGGAAATGGGGGGAGGTGCCAGAGGCGTAGAGGAGGGCTAATGTTGCCCCTATCTTCAAAAAGGACAAAAAAGAGGTACCTAGGAATTACAGGTCAGGCGGCCTGACATCCCAGGCAAAATTCTGGAAAAGATTGTGAAGCGGTCATTGTGCAAGCACATAGAAAACAATTCAGTAATAATTAGAAGCCAACATGGATTTGATCAAGAACAAATCCTGCCAAACTAATTCAATCTCATTTTTTGATCAGGTCACCTCCCTGATAGACAGAGGGAATGCTGTAGACATAGTATATCTTGACTTCAGCAAAGCTTTTGACAAAGTGGCCCATGATCTCCTGATTAGCAAGCTAACTAGGTGTGGGCTGGATAGATCAAGTATCAGGTGGTTACACAATTGGCTACAGAATCCTACTCAGAGGGTGATGATTAATGGGTCTTTCTCTAAATGGGAGGAGGGGAAAAGAGGGGTACCCCAAGGCTCAGTCCTGGGCCTGGTGCTCTTCAATATTTTTATTAATGACCTAGATGACAGAGTGCAGGGAAAGCTTGTCAAATTTGCAGATGATACCAAATTGGGCGGAATAGCTAATACCCTAGAAGACAGAAACAAACTTCAAAATGACCTTGATAGGATGGAGCACTGGGCCAAAAGCAACAGAATGAAATTCAACAGGGTTAAGTGGAAAGTACTGCACCTCGGGAAAAAGAAACCAATGGCACAGTTACAAGATGAGGGATACCTGGCTCAACAAAACCACGAGTGAATAGTTTTGGAATCTTGGAATTGTGATAGATCACAAGCTAAATATGGGTCAACAGTGTGATGTGGCTATTAAAAAATGACAAATGCTATTTTAGGCTGCATTAATAGTGTAGGCATCCTTCTGTCTCAAGAGACTATGGTAATGTGCTCTGTATGGAGGTCTTGGAACAGCGTCTAGTGTGGCTGAGAAGGCCAATTCGAGAGTGACAATCCCTTCCACATTGAAGACAAATACAATCTGTCCCCTGTCCAGCTCCCTGGTTTTTCTTGTTTCGGGACTGCCTCTTTGCGTCGGCCTGCTGGACAAGGGTCTCTTCAAATTGGGAGAGGCCATGATGCACCGCCTGCCTCCAGGCTG